CCATGAGACTCCAACTAACCACCACAAATCCAGAAGCGGAGCTGTGGTTCAACTGGTAGAGCACTAGCCTCGAACACAAAAGCCCGGGGACAGTGCCCAGGCCCTAAGTTCAAGCCCCAAGACCAGCATAAAAGGTTAAAAAAAAAAGAGAATAGATTCCTAAGTTTCTCTCTCCTAATATGCATGAAAGCATAATAATTGCTGTTTTAACTATCTCTTCAGAAAATATGCTACCTACCACATATTATATGTATTTTTCCCTTTGCTTTTTCTTTTATTCTGAGATCATCTTCATATGTAGTGTCATTACACCCTCTAGTGGATGTCTTTATTCAGCAAATATATATTACAAATACCTACCTCATAACTTTTAGGGAATTTCATCTATCATAAAAACTTGACAGAAAACAATGATTGATTTCACATTCTTAAGTATTCCTCTTTTTTTAGAGAAGCTCATTTGTCATTTTAAAGTAAATCTGCCAGTTGCCTGCAGTATTATCTTTGCCCAAACGTGAACATCAATTCCTACATTCCCCAATTCTAACTTAACTATCCCAAGGATGGCAATTTGATATTTCTATTTTGACTGAATACTTAAGAGATGAATCTGGATACAGGGCCCATGGCTCCCTGTTCCCACTTTCAATTTCCTTTGGCTGTGTGTCCTAACTTCCGCTAGTGCAAGGCTATTTCCTCTTGCTTTTGTTACCAAGGGAAGCATAGAGGCTACATTCAGCCAGAAAGCACCACACACACACCACACACATACACACACACACACACACACACACACACACACACACATACTTTTCCTTTCAGATTGGAACATGTAGAAAAGATGTCAAGGAATTGTTATTATGGGTAGATTTAAAGTGGAAGAGAACTAAAGGTAAAGATATTCTAGCAAATTATCATACACACAGAATATTTGTAGAGCAATTGAGGTTTCACTTCTTAGCTGTCGAGCCCATGTCCATGACCAGCTGCAGTTCCACGGAAGGACATAATTGCATCCTGTACAATTCCTGATTTGTTTTGGTTAGCAAAAGCCTCCACTAACCGTGACCTTAACCAGTGTCCATTGTCTAAATCTCAATACAGCTTCTGTGTTTCCCAGCTATCGTCAAGTTTGCAGCAATTTCAAGTCTATAGCAATATCTAAAATCATCAGATTTCCCTTTAAGGGTCCTTAAGTATATTGTTAGGAGGGAAATTATTTAATTGGCACAGCCACCATTGGCAATTTCTTTTAAGAGTTATTCCGTGTTAATAATCAGTTGGTGGTTCCATTCTCTCCCAGTGGTCTTGAAATTGTAACTGCTGCAGTTAGATTTTAATAAGCTTTCATCCGACCTAAACAATACTGTGAACCGTAAAGTTAAAAATGAAATTATTTGTTTTAGTAACTAATGAGCTAACTCAAAACTATTTTATTTCAAACCAGTTCACTGGCTTTGTGACTTTTCTCAGCCAACCCGAGCAATTTTCTCACAAGTAGCCCAGCTTGTGTGTTGATGTCTTCCTCTTCCTGGATTAGTCACCATTTCAGGGTGAGAAGTGACAAGTGCTGCTTCTAGTACAGACTTCCTGGCGGCCACTTCCCTGCTCTGCCAGGTGTCATCCAACCTCAGACTGCACCAGAATAACGGAAGGTGTGTGAACACCAATTGCAGCTCCTGAGGCCCAAACTTTCCAACCCAGCACATTGGATGTGGCACACACACACACACCCCCCCCCACACACACACACACACTTATTAGATTTCTAACTAATCCTAGGGTTGACTCTTGGAAAACAATTCAATACCCTTTGAGAACTATGTTTTCCCAGAGATGAATTCTCTAGAAACTTCTCCAAGACAATAAGTCCCAGAACCTGTGAAGGACACACTGACAACTTTCAGCAATGAAGGTATATAGGCAATGCAGCACATTTGAAACATGTTATTTGAGGTTATTGTGTTTACACTTGACAGACCCCTTCAGTTATATGCCAAATGGGATCAGGAAAAAAATCAGACAGTTAAAATGTGGGTTTGCATTTATGATGGCATTTATAATATGATAGCCAGAGGGCAGATCTGGCTGGCAGAGAACTCCTGGAAGTAATTGCTTAGACCACCTTAGTGTGGCTACTGTTGGGGGCCTACTGCCACCTCGTGGTGGGTTTTGGCAGTATCAGTTCACAACTTGGCTCTGGATGCAGTGGCTGCTGGAAAACAGAAGCAAAATTGAGCTTTGTACAGAAATGGTTTTGCCCAAGTAGTCATCACGTCCTATTTTAATATCGCATAACTAAGCAGCCTTGTTTCTTCACATGTACAAAAAAATTAAACCTATTTGATTAGGCAACAGTTTCAAATTTATTTCCCAGGACAGAATAAATGCCAGGAAAATTCACAGCAACAATATTTGCATTGATTTCTATTACAACTCAGAAATCTTTTCAGAGAAAAACGAGTCTGTTGTAGATTTCTGAATAAGTCAGGGTTCTGTTGGATTTGTTCCATGTTTTCAAAGTTTCAACAGGAGAGAAAAAGCCAACAAAGCAGGGACGGAAGACCCAGAGAATATAAAGCCTAAATCAAGGTCCAAGTCCAGCTACATAGGAGGTGCCAGCGTTCTGTGAAACTGATTTGCCAACTTTTGCTGCTATGCTTGATTCTCAAGGAATAAACTTTAAAGAGCAGTAAAGGGCAAGCAGAAGTGGTGAGGTGAAGTCTTTGATCAGTGGTGGCCTGCCATGCCAAACAACCTGGCTTTTCCCCCTTGGGGCAGGGAAAGGGAGCTGCTCCCTGTTTTCTATCAGGTCCTCTTAGCATATCTTGGAGAGCTATATATGCTCCTTCACACGGAGGAGTGAGTAATTGTCTCCACAGTGATCATGTGAACAGGGCCTTGTGGCCCTGCTGGTGGCCTCATTGGTGGGAACTGCCCAGCATCAGTAACATGACAATGATTCATATTTTATGAAAAGCCCTGCTGGCAAAGCCAACGTGCGCATTTCTTCCAAGTGCTTGGGCAATGTTGGCACTGAAAATGATGTGCCAAAGAACACACTTTGAGAAACCAAAGGATCCAAGTCTCATCTGCTACCTCCACAGGTCTAACAATAGTAGTGTCTTATATCATGTCATGTGGGCACATGACATTGTTTAAGAAAACTAGGTATAGGTATCAAATGCTGCTATGAGAATTTTCCAGGTAATCACTTTTCTTATTCCTTAAACATGCGTTAAGTTTTCCTCATTGTTATCATTGAAATAATATGGAAACTATTATTGGATAAAAACAGAGGAAGAAAGATGAATTGTTAATTTGTCCTAATACATCCCTGTAAGGAAATCTCAGAGATGGACAGTCAGTAAGAAGCAAGTAGGGCATGATATTTTCAAATAAAATGTTGGGTTTCTTCTAGAACATTTCAGATGCTCTACAGACCCCAAAAGATCAGATCTACCCATGGATCATGTAGTGGCACATGCCTGTAATTCCAGATTGAGTCAAGGATTGTGATTCCAAGGCCAATTGGGTTTAAGTTGACCCTGTGACTCCCAAAGAAAACAAAAATCAGATCCAGTTTTAAGTATTCAGCTCTTTTACAAGTCAAATTATACCATGTTGGCCCTCAGACTGTAGAGGAAGGTATGGATCATCTATTTGATTCTTATTATCAGAAAATTGCATTTGATAAAAAGTGGCAGCGAGCTCAGGGATGGCTCTGTGAGACAGAGCTCTGTCTTTCTTCCACACGGTGTGATGTCCTAAGCCAGGCTAGTGCTGGCCAGACTCGGGTCTTTCAACTCCTAAGTGTTTTCCTTGAGCCTGACAGTGGATTGCTGATAGTCTTTCTGATGATTATGACTTCTCAGTAACCAAGAAGAAAAAGCAACCATTCTCACACCCAGATGGAAAATTCTTATGTCTGAAAAGATATCTTTTGCCATTTCCCTGGTAGAAAGAATTTCAATGTCATTCTCTACCAAGACAGTAAAAAAAAAGCAGCATGTCTGAACACAACGTCAACCCTAGCAGGATTAGCCTCCCACTGAAGGAAAAAATGAAAGGTAGCAATTCTCTTACCCAGTCTTCCTGTCATGGCCTTTACCAGAATATCCTTCTCATGAAATGAGGAGCAGGAGCTCCTAAGCACTGAGCGATTCCATTTACAGCTGAAGCTGTGACAGGTCCTGACCCTGCCCTTCAGGAAGCAGATGGTGTTTCTCTTGTGCACACGGAGTTGTACCCTGTTGCTTGGGTGGGGGAGTAAGGTCTTAGGAAGCTCTAAAGACTTCACTTTAGCACAGACATCATAGTATAAAGAATCATGGATTATGAAAAGCTCATATATGAAATCTACACCTGAAAAAAATCAAAGCACTTTATTCACACATGAAACCAATTAAAAATAGTTTAAAAGGGAAGAAAGAGGGTGTAAGAAAGAGTAATCGGGGGTGGATTTGAGCAGAACTCATTATATGCATGGATGGACATGTCGCAATGAAAGCTCTTTGTGCAATTTATGTACACTAATAAGAAACTTCCATTGGAAAACGAGAGAAGGCAATAATGTATCCGGTTATATAATATTCCAAGGAGACAGTGTTTCCTGCTCCTAACTTAGCACCACAAAGAAGTGAGAGGCAGGAACATGGAGTAAATGTTCCCCAACCATTCCCCCATCTTACAACTCTCCCACTCGTGCTACAGAATGACACAGCGAGTGGGAAAACAGAGATGCCTTGATTTTAGAGAATCAGAAAAAAAATACTTTGGCTCTTCCTTTTTTATCTCTGACTTAGATTTAACAATCCTGTGTGGCTTCCCAACCCACCCAGCACACAGAGATTTCTTTGAATAGGACCGTGTCAAGCACAATGACCCCCCAGAAGCAATATTTTCTTTCTATGAGTGACCTGTGTGGGTGTGGGAGGTACAACTCCAGTGAAATGTTGCAGTGATGAGCCTGGCTGTGTGTGATTTCTCTCTGATCGCAGTGGGAAAAACTACAGATGACCACGAGTGAGAGGAGGAAGATATTCTGCTCCGTCACGTTCCACGTCATCGCCATCACCTGCGTGGTCTGGTCTCTGTACGTGCTGATAGACCGGACGGCAGAGGAGATCAGGCAAGGCAACGACAATGGTAAGGGCCTTCTCCCCGTCCTGGTCTCCGCACCTGGAGTCTAGCGCCCTGGGGGCGTCCCTGGCTCTCCGTTGAGGTGTCCAGGTATGATGCCTGAACAAAAGCCAACACTCGCAGGGCCTTTCCTGAATACATCCTTGACTAACTTTCATGAAAAAGCATTGACTCCAGGGGGTTCCTGCCTAAGAGGTAAGGCGCATAGAGTCCATGTAAAACCGAACCAGGGAGAAGCCCGTTGGTGGTGTTTATGTTCAGTGTTTGGAGAATCTTGAAGATGGATGAAGAACAATCGGTTCTGCCTGGTCATAAAAGGCGAATAGTTACAACACATGGAATGCTTCCAAGGCTTATTTAATTCACTCTCTCGAGCGAAGAGTCAGGTAGAGTGTGCGCACATGGAGTGTCAGCATTTGGGCAAGAGGATCATAAGTTTGAGATTAGACTGGGCTACATAGCAAGTCTCTCTCTTTCTCTCTCTCCCTCCACCCCCTTCTCTCCCTCCCTCCCTCCCTCCACCACCTCTCCTCTCTCTTTCTCTCTCTCTCCCTCCCTCTCTCTCCATCCACCCTCCACCGCCCCCCCCCCCACACACACACATGCACAACAAAGACACAAGCAAAACCAGGAAGCAAAAAGGCTACAAAATAATGTTGCACTCACTTTCATTTTAGGCCCTTTGACAGCTTTCATATATAGCGTAAATTACAATTGATAAATCAGTGAGAAATCTTCCCACCGCCACCCCCTCAAGAAACAAATTAATTTGAAAGGCTAAGCTGTTCAGAAGGTAACACCGTACATTTGTGGTACTAGGAAAAGTGTCTATGCCTTCCTTCCCCGAAAGAAGAAAACTAAAGAAGGAAAAAGATGGGGGTAGAGTGAGAGGAAAAGAGAGAGAAAAGTGCGTTGCCTTCGGTGTGGTTTCGTCCTACATTTCCAGTCTTTCCCTGCTGGTGGCAGCAATGCCCAGCATTGTGCTGGCATGGATAGTTCTAGAAAGCCAGGGAAGATGCTGGGAGAGAGAGAGTAGGAAGCATTCCCCCACACGCACTGTGGGCACAGTTTATGTGATTGAGGAGGGGGAACTGGTGTCAGACCCACAGATCCCACCGTTCTTCCTGAAAAAATGAAAATACTGCTGAATCTAAATGCTAGAAAAAGAGGGGAAGGGTTTGATTTGTTGTTGTTACACTATAACGCTTTTATATACTACATCATTTATATTAAACTACACCTTTTTTTTTGCCAGTGGTAGGGCTTGAACTCTGGGCCTGGGTGCTGTCCCTCAGATCTTCAGCCTAGTGCTCTACCACTTGAGCCACAGCACCACCTCTGGTTTTCTGGTGGTTAATTGGAGATAAGAGTCTCATGGACTTTCATGCCTGAGCTGGCTTTGAACTATGATCCTCAGATCTCAGCCTCATGAGTAGCTAGGATGACAGGCGTGAGCCACCAGCACCTGGCTTAAACTATACTTTTTTTCCCTCACATGTTCTCTGTTCTGAGGATATGGTTTTCAAATGTTATATTACATGAGAACTAAATAAATACACCTGAGGGTAGGATCTTTTTAAAATAAAACTTTAAACCATAGGTTTTTTTTTAATATAGATATACTGGCCTAAATCAAGCAGCAGAATCTTGTGTGGATGGAAAACACCCCCTCTCTCCCACCCACCCCCGCACCCCACATCCCTTCCTGAGGCTAATTACCTGAAGACTCAGATGTTTTCCTAGCAACCCAGGACACACCTGCTGGCCAGAGACCAAGTTACTTCTCTTACTTACACACCTGATTTACAGCCCAGTGTTTGAGGACCTTCGTTTACTTCATCATCTCTCAGTGGTCAAGCCTGACTTGGCCTGGACTCTCTTCTTCAGGAGAGATGCAGGCACTTCTCCTACAGACCACTTAGAGGCAGCATTGCGCTTCCTCCATACACAATCCTCTACAAGTCACCCCTGAGAAAAGCCCTGTTACATTTACTTACTCCCCTGTGCTTCTCAGTCACATGGAAGCTGGGATCATTTAGTCTACAATGAACAGTTAAATTGTCTCAACATTAGCCACACCAACAGCCCCAGAACTCAACAAACCCCAAGCTCTTGCATTTTTCTGTATACTGCTCTGGTTATTCTTAGGATTTTAGCTGACATTTCTATGCTGATGACCTTCCAGGGGTACCTCCAGCTCATAATGCACCCCAGCCCATGCATCTACTTTCTTCCTGAAAGCCTTCGTTGAGGGTCATGTGTCCACACTCATAAGTAACTGCTACTTCTCACTCTGAAACCATTAGAAAGACACTACTACATCCAACAGCCAAATACTCAGCTTTCCTCCTCTCTGTCCTCCTCCTCCTTTTCCTCCTCTTCTCCCTCCTTCTCCTTCTCTTCCTCCTCCTCTTCTTGCTTTTTCTTTTTTTCTCTCTCGTTCCCTCCCTCCTTTTAATCAGTCACCAAATCTCACATATCCTGACTCACATCACCCTAGAATCTAATTACATCCACATGGACAAAATCTATGTGCAAGCCCTAATGTTTTTACTCAAAAACTGCAAACATTTCTTGCCTAGACTTTCTCTAGTTTTGTCCACTCTCAGCTCAGGATCCATAATATAATGATGACAAATTACAAAACTACATATTGGATCAAATTCTATTTCCTCTTAACATATGAGCTCAAGCCCCAGAACCAACCGCAAAAAAAAAAAGAAAAAAGTGTGATGAGGGATCAGCTTTTATGTGTGATGAGGGATCAGCTTTTATGTATGTGTGCGCACGCACATGTATATACATATACACATAGGCATATGATTCATGTTATTTTCAGTGCCTTAAAGTTCACTGAAACTAAAATGTGTTATTCAGAGCTTTAAAATTAGAAAGCACTGGGTGCCAGTGGCTCACGCCTGTAATCCTAGCTACTCAAGAGACTGAGATCTAAGGATCATGGTTCAAAGCCAGCCTGGGCAGAAAAGTCCTTAAGACTCTTATCTCCAATAAACCACCAGAAAACCAGAAGTGGTGCTGTAGGTCAAGTGGTAGAGTGCTAGCCTTGAGCTGAAGAGCTGAGGGACAGTGCCCAGGCCCAGAGTTCAGGCCTTGTGACTGACAAAAAGAAAAAGAAAAAGAAAAAAAAAGGAAAGAAAAGAAAGAAAGAAAGAAAAGGAAGGAAAGAAAGAAAGAAAGAAAGAAAGAAAGAAAGAAAGAAAGAAAGAAAGAAAGAAAGAAGAAAGAAAGAAAGCAAGCAGTCAATCTGGGACAGAGGCTGAGGCCACCCTTACAGAACAGGCCTTCCTAGGATACGTGGATTCATTCCTAGGTGGAATCCATGGCGACCACTGTGCACCCCATCACCGGCGCTGTCGCTCAAACTGTATTTGAAACCTTAGTTTCCAACAAAAACGCTTAAAGGGAGTATGGATATCTTGAAGTCCTTATGATTTTAATCTTCCTTTGGCACTGAAATGCTGATCCTGAATTTAGTTTTAAAGCTATTGGGGGAACACTGCATAATTTACAAGCTAACATACTTTAAATCCATCTTGAAAACCTTCAAAAAATATATGAAGGGGAACAAATAGTGCTTTTCCACCAGAACTGAGGTTGACTATAAAGCGGCAACATCATTTGAACTGTAATGACAATGCTGAGAGAAAACAACATCATTCATGTGTTTTCAAATGCTATTTTCTTTTAGATTAAATTTGTTGGATGCCCTAGACAAAGTTCTCTCGCTCTATCTCCCTTTCTCTCTCCCTCTCCCTCCCCTCTCAACCCCTCCCTCTCTCCTCCCTTTATCTTCTTTGCCCTGTGGTAAGCCCCACAGACCCCCCCCCCTCCTCAAATAGATGGTACTTGAAACCCTGGAACGAATTCCCCAATTTGCGCAACAATTATTCTTCCTACCTTAGCCTTAACTTTTGTTGATGAACACTTCAGTATAGTACTTGGTGCAAAAACAAAACAAAAATCTCTAAGACTGAAAAAATGACAGCAACAACTTATACTACAAGTTGATTGTGTCTTCTCCAAGAATTTGAGGTTTCTTCTTTCAGCTTTAGGAATATTTGTATATCTAAAGTTACTTTGGGAGTAGGACCTAAATCTAAACATGAAGTTCATTTGTTTCATGAACCCTTTATACATATCCTTAAGGTTAATGTAACTGCTCTGTACCACAATCCATCTAGTGAGGTAGAATTTTCCACTGTGGTACCGTGTTGGTGCTCAAAAATCTTTGAATTTTAGAGCATTTGGATTTAGGAAGCCCAGGCTATATTAAGAGACTGACTGTAGGGGCAGATACTAAAAGTTGCCCCAGAATGATACAGAGAGCTCTTAGCATTGGCAAAATCTTGAGAATATTTGCTGGCGGCTGCTGAATCAGTAGATAAGAGCATCCCAAATAAAATACACAGAAAACCAAAGCTAATAAATACACCGTCTCTGGCTAGGTGTTAGAAGGCCAGAATCCTAATTCTGTCTTACTTACTGGCTTGAATATGATAAACTCTTGGTAACACAATTTCTACATTCGTGAAACTAAAAACGTTGGATTTTGTGTCTTCTGTTGGTTCTTTGTATAATGTATTTGTCAGTATTTGATTTTGCTTCCGGTAAATTGACACATGTTCATATAAATAGCACGCATATATCATACATGTTTACCCCAGGCAATATTGAAACAGATTAAGAAAAAGATAGATGAAATGGATGTTGTTCTTTAATTTATTCAGTTGGAGAGAAGCAGCCGGGGTAGTGGGGGAGAAAATTCTCACATACACACCCTCCCTTCTGCAGGCACAATTTATAACTCTGTATAACCTAAGCCCTGAGCCAAAAACACTCCCATTTAACAGTGAGATGCTTGGTCTAAATATACACTGTCCCTGCTCAATGAGGCAGGTTCTCTTCTTCTGTTTGGTGATTTCAAAAGGCTTTTAGACACATGCCAGGTGCCTGCAGCCACATGAACTATGACAGAAAAACACAGCGGATTTCAAAAGGTGGAAGAGACCTTACATATCTTTGTTTTCCAAATGAGAATTTAAAGTGATTTACTCATCTCCAACTATATTATAAAGACCTAGTAGGAGTCTTTTGGTTCTTTGACTTAAAGAGAAAACAGGAAAATGAGGCATCATAGTTGTCCCCACCTGGGAGCCTCCCGGGCAGAATTGGGACCAGAATCTATTCTTAAAGGAAATACATTTCCTGAGACAGAATAATTGTTGCAGATGCACCTGGAAAAGTCCAGTGGTTACATCCCAATGAACTAGTCATTGTTCTTTGACTGGAAGCTTGGAATAAATGTGCCCTAACATATTCAGGACATGCAATTATTCCTTAAGTTTTTAAGACATTATTGGGGGTGTTTTGTTTTGTTTTTGGTGTTGTCTGAAGTATTTTTCTGTTTTCTTTCCTTCCTTCCTTCCTTCTTTCTTTCTTATTTTCTTTCTCTTTCTCTTTCTCTTTCTCTCCCTTCCTTCCTTCCTTCCTTCCTTCCTTCCTTCCTTCCTTCCTTCCTTCCTTCCTTCCTTCCTTCCTTCCTTCCTTCCTTCCTTTCTTTCTTTCTTTCTTTCTTTCTTTCTTTCTTTCTTTCTTTCTTTCCTTCTTTCTTTCTTTCCTGGTCCTGGGGATTGAACTCTGGTCCTGGGCTCTGTTCCTGAGCTCCTTTTGCTCAATGTTAGCGCTCTGACACTTGATCCACAGCACCACTTGTTTTTTGGTTTTTTTGGGGTATTTTTTTCTGTGATTAATTGGAAATAGAGTCTCACAGACTTTCCTGCCCAGCCTGGCTTTGAACTGTGATCCTCAGATTTCAGCCTCCTGGGTAACTAGGATTACAAGCATGAGACACCAGCACCTGGCTGAACTATTTTTCTGAATGAGAGAATTTCAACTACAAAGGACACGCAGGGGCACTGGTAAGGAGATGCAAAGCTTGGCTGGCAGCTAACTGGAGTTCCTTCCTACATTCTGGAGGTTTCCATTTCCTGAGTAGGATTCCCAGGCTGAAGCCTCAGGACATTAGGGAGATCTGAGCAGTAGGCACCAGTGAAAGTTCTGTTTTTAATCTCCAGCTTAATCAGCCAAAAACATGCCACAGTCAAATAACTTATATCATGGTGATAACCATTTATAGAACACTTTCAAGGTCAGGAACTTCTAATTCATTGGCTGCACAACACTAAGAACTCCATAATCTGAATATAAACTCTTTAAACCTATTTTTTGTTTGTCTTTTCTTGTTCTGCACTGCGGATCGAACCCTCTGAGCTACATCTCTGCCCTCCCTCCATTTTTAATGTTGTCACAGTTGACGTTGGTGGTTTAAAAAAAAAATCCCAAACTTAGTAATTTAAAACTATAGCTGTTCATTTAGCTCTCAGTTCTGCAAGTCAGTTAAGTATTTCTTCTGGTATGGACCAGCAGCATGGCTGGTATCATTCACTTTGCCTGCAGACAGCTGGTGTTTTGAATGTGACTAAATAATTTACAGAGTTTAAACCTTTTTTATTCATTTTTACTTTTTCATTCCAAATTCTTTATATGTACTTAATTTTACCTGGACATCACAGTTTTTCCCATTTGCTTGTGTCTGAGTAAGAGTCCAAGGATCTAGAATGAGCTATTGATTTCTCTTCTTGTATTGTGTTGTCCCTTGCTCATTAAATAACATTTTCCAATAACTCATGTACTGACTTCTGTGTTCTGGAAGCATTCTTTCAAGAAGTCATGTAGCATTTTGATTCCTCCAACTCTAAGTTCTGAAGCATTCAACAGCATCTTGAAGGACCACACTACAGTGCATCATGTGCCTTTCCTGGAAAACCTATTAGCATGTTTATTGCTTTGGGAGGGCATGTTCCAATGCTGCAGTCCTCGAGTACTGAATCAAATAGACACAGTTATAAAAAGGAGGCCTGGAAGAATTTAATATTCAAAGAATGAGAATCAGTTGCCCATTCTTGTGGAATTAGTGCTCTGGAATGGGAAGGAACCAATTAAATTTATTATGAAAGATAAGGTTCCCATTTCTTCCCAAAACAATGATAGGCAGAATATCCACTCCTGCCCAAGAATTCCCAAACAATATTTCCCGCTAATGAATAGGAAGTAGATAAAGGCACAGTATATCTCTTAACTTATAGAAAATTCAATAGAAAGATTTCAAGCACCAAGGCAACAGTAGAGATGCTTCTGTGTGCTGTTCCACAAATGAATTGGTGACTGAATTGCCTGAAGTTGTATTTTTCCAAATTCTTCCAAACTAGAAAATAGAAAAAGTTTGACATTTCCCAATGGTGGCTATTGCTTGGTATACACATTAGTGAGGACAAAATCTTCCTTAGGTTGTAGAAAGGATCCTCAGGATGTTAGATTTTTGTCTCCCCTTCTTTACCTCTGTCTTTCTATTTTGTACATTCTTTTCTCTATGTAAAAGACAGCAAAGAAACTAAAACTACAAAACAGTGTATGAAGACAACTTGCTAAGTCTCCATAAAAGCAGGCAACTACTTCTTAGCAGTGAAATCCAGTGAGGTGCATTTTAGCATCTTTCTAGTGAGTTTTACAGGGTTAAAAAACTCATAACCACTCAATAATAACTTATTTCATATTGACAATGAAAAATCTTGCCCATTGGACCCAAATGGCTTTGGTATGTGCAGTTAGGAGACACTTTCCACACTAAATTCAGCCCAAACATTTAGTGGGAGCTTTGACTTTCCAATAACATCTGAATGAAGGATGTGCTGGGCAGAGGAAACCAATTCAGAGTTATCTAATAAAAGTAAGTGGAGAGAGCAGATTCCCAGAGATATCTCCTAGAGAGATAGCTCCTAGAGGATCCTCTGCATTGTATTGCACAGTATCCAGGAGCAGGTATAGCCTCTATTTACTGAAAGTCATCCAGCCCACCCTAATTAGTTGTTAGAATCCACTCTGAAAAGCATTTGTGTCTGCTGCTTCCTACTTTGGAGGGTTATTGTTCATTTGATTTTGTTAATATAGGCATAAACATACTATTTATTTCTCCATGTATAAGCTTTGGCTAACAATCATATTTTGTGATATTACTTCCATTGAGAGCAAGTGTGTGTTCAGGACACTGAATACTATGTATTAAATAATTTTTTTTTAATCCTTGAAAATTAGGAATTAGGAAAAAAATTCCTTGCTACGTATGAAGGTCCTACGAAGAGATTTGATCCACTGGAAAACTAAGCCTCATTCCTGACATCAAGCAATTCATTTTACATCAATGTCCAACAGAGTAGCATAATGTAACATCAACCATAGTGAAAGGTTTTTGTATGTCAAGTAAATTCAGAGGGATTCCCTACCCTTGCCCAGTAGCTCAAAGAAAGAGTTAGCGGTAAAGCATTTTAGAAAAGAATAAAAAGGAAGAGGAAGTTTGTGTGCTAAGGTTCAAGGGAGTCAGACTTAATGAAAGATCTGCTTTCCAAATGGCTAACAGAGCAGGTATTTATTTAATAGAAAAAATACGGGGAAAAATGACCATCATTAGTAAGTTTGCATTTGTTTGTTCATAGGGTAAAGCAGACTCTTATCACAGGATTATCCTGTCCAGAAAAATTTTGACACAACTTGCCACATCAGCTATGTGAAACCCAAGAATAGCATTGTCTTTGCTGGGGATTCTGGAGCCTACAAGAAATGCCCACTGTTTTGGAGACAAGCAATTGACAGGGAACTCTATTACTTCTGATTACTCTTAGTGCACCAATGTACTTCATCATGACAGAAAAAGGGTCCAATGTAAAGCAAATATCACTAGTACAAAAATATAAGTAGTAGAGTTTTATGACTCTATTCATGGTTACAATAAAAACTCAACATGAAACCATTGTGTGTTTGAAACCTGTAGTTTCTATCAACTTCTATAGTCCCTCCTAGTCTTCACCCTACTAGCCTTACTTTCATGTGACAGCCTCTTGCATAAAGCACTTAGCACCTCTGTATTATCCTAAAGTGTACATAGTGAACATTTATGTGGTTACAAAAGCTCCTATGAATTCATTCATAAAATGGTTTATTTTGTAAAGGAAAATGGCTTATTTTGTAAAGGAAAGTCCATTTTTCATAATGTTGATGGAAATTCAGAGAAAATACAGACATCTAGGAACATGATGCTTGGTGTTATGATACAGGATTTATGATGCAAATGACTAACTGCATGTCTTTAATCAAGAAATTCTCTGGTAGAAAAATGTGCTGCTCTTGCATCTTAATTCCCTCTTCCATTTAGGGTCTCTGAAGGAAATGTGGCACTCATTACTTCATTTGCTTAAAAGCATTTGAAATAGTAACTAGAAATAAAAGCCAAAGCCAGTATCCAAAGTCTAACATGGGATCTGGGGCCTCTAGTTGCAGGTACTTAGAACTGGGAGAAATGAGATCATTTGCATTGATCAATGAGAATGTTTTCCGCATCTGTAATTTTAACACTATATATTTAGGATATCTGAAAGTAGCTCAGCTTATTCGGGTTACACATTTTACTAGTTGTTAAAAATGTATCCCTGATCCATGTCATGTGGCAGACAGGTGTGATCTTTCAAAAGGAATGAGAAGCAAAAACCAAGGAGATAACATTGCCTCTTTTTTTTTCCTTTCAATTTCAAAGGTGTCCTTGAATGGCCATTCTGGACAAAACTGGTTGTGGTGGCCATTGGCTTCACAGGAGGTCTCGTCTTCATGTACGTACAGTGTAAAGTCTACGTTCAGCTGTGGCGCAGGCTGAAGGCCTATAACCGTGTCATCTTTGTGCAGAATTGCCCAGACACTGCCAATAAACTGGAGAAGAACTTCTCGTGTAATGTCAACACGGACATCAAGGATGCTGTGGTTGTGCCTGTAACACAAACAGGTACAAATCCACTGCCGTCCTCAGAAGCTGGGCCCCCTGAGGTCATACCAGTTTGATGGAACTAGCTAGGAGTTTCTTCACTGGAGGATATCTTGCTAGCCCTCAGCCACTACACACATCACAAGGGATCCTGCATTATTCACTCCCTTATCTTCTCCCTCTCCTACTGACTCATTTTTCCCCCTTACTTCACTCAAAAGAAAAAGAAAGGAGGAAAAAATAAACCAACTGACCAGGATCCTGTGAAGCAGGGTCAAAAGTGAGATGTGGAAGCAAGAAGCTTGCTGGAGACTGATTGTTAAGACAATAAGGAAGCACTGGCATAAGGATTGCTTATGAATGACTGAGTGGGCGCGATGCTCTTTGGGATAGCTGGGGAAAAGGCCAAGAATACAGACTTGGATTACAATGTGTGTTTCTTCTTAGGGCCTCAACTGGAAATAACAAATGTATTTGGTCTCAAACCTGAAATTATCTCCTTTATCCCTCTCATCTTGGAAGCAACCTTGGAGGATGTATATTTTGATAGACTTTGACAGCTGATTTTTATGGGTATAGTGGTGTCTGGTATTTTGACAGATGCATGTTTTAAAAAACAATGGATGCAAGATACATTTGAAGATAGAAACATTTGGAATTATGTTTAAATCATGAACAAAAGATTTACACAGAAATTTGAGGGTAAACTAGCCTTGTTTAATACCCTCTCCCAAGTTGAAATCAGCTTTCAGGTATTTTATCTGATCTTTTGAATACGGTGATGTCCAAATGGCAAAAGCTAGGAATGCAGGTCACATATGTAAATTTTGAATTTCCTAGTACATGTTGAGCGCATCAGTAGCTCATGCCTGTAATCCTAGCTTCTCAAGAGGCTGAGATATGAGGATCATGGTTCAAAGCCAGCCTAGGCAGGAAAGTCCCTGCAACTTTTATTTCCAATAAACCACTAAAAAGACAGAAATGGAGCTGTGGCTCAAGTGGTAGAGTGCTAGCCTTGAGCAAAAAAGCTCTGGGACAGTGCCCAGGCCCTAAGTTCAATACGCAGGACTGGCGTGCGCACACACACACACACACACACACACACACACACACACACACACACAATTTCCTAGTAGCACCATTAGAAAAAGTAAAAATGGGTTAATTTTGATAATTTTTATTTAAGACAATATATACAAATGATTTTATGTTATCAATGTAAAAATTATTGAAATAATTTATACTTTTTTTTTACCAAGCCTTCAAAATCCTGTATGTATTTTATAACACACATCCATGTTAATTAGCTGAATTGGGTAGTAAATAATTAAAGTTATAGAATAAGCCTCTGCTTCATTTAATAGTTGAATATTTCAAAACAGCAGCTCAATCTATTCTTTTACTTAACAGTTTTATTTAAGGGTGATAATTTTTAAAAGTACTAGAGAAGTATCCTAGTTTGAACTAAATGAAACTGCCATTTTTCTCAAGGGTGAAAACAACCAGAAGCATAGAAAGATTAGTCAAATTGTGAAATTAACTTATTTGCTACAATAAAGCAATTATGATAGGAAAATAAAAATTAAATATTTTTATTATTAAATTAAAGGCATAAGGTTTTGTTTTGTTTTAATCCACAGAAGATGTCAACTTGACAGATCACTAATATAACCAAGAATTCGAGGCCCTAGTTCCCTTGCTTAGTTAAGCAAAAATACTCAGCAGATTCTATGGTGTGTAAAAAGTTAGGTTGTTTAGTTTGGGCCACTATGATGTTCTTCAAGTATTCATAGGAAACTGGAGTATGAATGGTACTAATGTGAGCTAGATTAAGAATTGTAAACATAGCGACTTGTGAAAGAACAAATGTCTGACATAAAAAGAAAAGTGATTTTTGTGAGCTGTCATATTTATTGTCATGCAAGGGGCAGAGATGACCCTAAGAACCAAAGCATGGGTATGATGTTGCACAGACTTGGCTATCACATCAATGCACTTTGTAATTACCAGTGTGTGTGTGTTCTTCACAGTTTAACAAAGGAAAAGGGGGAAATAACCTTTCAATGAGGAGACAATATGGATATCAGCAGAGGTGGGCAATGAGTCCAAAAATGGTCCATTCCTAGACTTAAAGAAATGAAGAAAGGAAAGAAAAGAAAAGGAAAGGAAAGGGAAGGGAAGGGAAGGGAAAGGGAAGGAAGGAAGGAAGGAAGAAAGGAAGGAAGGAAGGAGTCAATTGTGTATATGTCTGTGTATTCATGTGTATATACAGGAGAGAAATGTTAAAGTATTCAGTAAGGAAAGAAAAGGCTTAAAACTCATCTAAAAATGGGTAGGGCATGGAATAGATGGACAGAGACAAACAAGTGGAGATAACTAGATTGGACCAAATAAATCACCCAAATAAGTATATAAGGGGCAGTTTTATATATATATATATATATATGTATATATATATATAAATTCATATATGTATATATATATATATATATATATATATATATATGAACCTTAAACAAATTAAAACTTTGCACTAACTTCCTCTTAGGTTTCCATTTTAAAGACTTAAGACACACATAAACAACAGAGCTGTGGGTGATTTTAAAATGGTCCCCAAGGAACTAAAGTTGATTTTGTTTCCCAATGGTTTAGCCAATTGGAAAACAAATGATTTTGCAATATGTTGTCTGCAAATATTCCTGGGGAGAAAGTATGGTCACCATCACATAAAAAAGGTTGATTCCTCTTTTGTTTGTACAGGAATGAATGAAAAGCATTATTGAGCTTAATTACTCTAGAAAATACTTTTTCAAAAGATAGCTTAAGTGCACCTCTCATTCACAGTGGGAGATGACTGGCTACAATAAAACCACTCCATCCAGGGGTGCACTTAGCATGCAGTAAGCATTCTAGAGTAAAAATAAAGACAAACTGCTGTATTAATAATAAAGGATAAAATTATGCTTTAAAAACTACATCTAAAATTTTGGAATTGACTTTTATAGGCTTGGCTCTAATCAAGTGAGAAAATACATGCAGTTCCCTAACAGCTTAAAAATCAACATTTAATTCTACTGTATTTGACCTTTCAAAACCCTAAGCTGGGTATCACTTAGTAAAATTCATTACAGCAAATTTCTTTGCAAAAAAAAGGATGTCTATGGCTCAGGCAATCTGAAATGATTACATTCACTTAAAAACTACTGTTAACTATTTTCTTCTGACATTCTATGTGGCAGTGGAATACTTTCCCCCTTCAAACCATGAAGATTTGCATTTGTGACCATACATTTGGTGAACTGATTTGCCTTTTAACAGGAAAAAAATGTTGTACAGAATAATAATCTTTTAGTGTAAAGAATAAAACGAAACTGAAACAAAAGACTGAATTGAGAAATGAACTTAGTGTTTAAAAACTCTAGTTTTTAAATGCTACATGAATTTATAGCATTGGTAATACCAAAAATCAGATATTGATGTTGTTCTTTGTTTAAACTAAAAACTGTCAATTTTATGATACAGAATGGAAGATTAAACTGAAAAGGAATATTTAAACATTTGTAAAGCAGAAAAGTAGATAAAATTTAAGCACACACAAAAAAGAAAAACAAGTAATCCCAATCACCCATATACAGCCATGTAGCAATTGAAGGCATCTTTTCCAAAAGCGCTACCATTAAAACTTACTTGGAGCTGCTGTTCTACATGATTATAGTCTTGGCAAAATGGCCTCATTAGTTGTATTTCTTGTTTTGCAAAAGACTCTTGGAACTACCCTTCAAATATATACTTTGGCTGGAAAAAAAATAGCTCATTAGTGGGACCCAAGTGGTTCACACCCATAATCCTAGCAACTCAAGTGTCTGAGATCTGAGAAACACAGTTCAAAGCCAACTTGGGCAGGAAAGTCTGAGACTCTTATCTCCAATTAAACTCCCTCAAAGCTGGAAAAGGAACTGTAGCTTAAGTGGCAGAGTGCTAGCCTTGAGCAAAAAAGCTCTGGGACAGTGCTCGTGCTCAGGCCCCGAAGTTCAAGCCCCAGGACAGGCACCCCACCCCCCAGTATCACACACAAAAGCTAATCAAGACAATGACATCTTTAAGAGAAAGCATAATGAAAAATGGGAAGATTATTCCATCTGCCAGGCTAGTTACCTTTCCTTGCCTTGTTAATGAATATTTTGGAACAAGAGGAAGTCTTGAAACTTATTACTATCATTATTATTGTACTTGTTATAGAATAATTCTGTAAGGATTATACTTTAATTAAGAGAGATGAAAACTTTTCTTTCCTTAAATCAGCCCAATGGTGCTATTTTACATATCAATACAGTTGACAGGAAGTACTGTTGTTTTTTGGGCTGCAGCATTTCCTCCACATTTGAAGACAGCCCATTCTGAATTTGGATATCACATCAAGACAAAGGAGAACATAATTATTTTAATGGTGTGCAATTTTAGAGATTGAGCATTTGTACTTTTTCAGTTTTACATAATTCTCTTTCGTTACCAACTTACTGTGTGTGAACAATGTGCACTCAGAAAAAACTAAAGAAAATAATTGTCTGTGAAAAGACTTTGTATATTAAACAAGTGATCCAAATCTTTGTTGTAGTTTCTATACATTTTGCTATTATACTGGGATTTCTGCACGTATTATTTGCAACATTCAAACCCCCTTAATACTTACTTTAAGGTGTTAACAGTGGAATTTTAGGCAGGCACTGAACATATCTGTAATTATTTTAAAGTAAATATATACTGGAAAATCTTGGATATCATCAAGAAGAATAAATAGATGCATTCACCCACAGAAATAATATAGGTAGGTTGGGGCTGGGAATGTGGCACAGTGGTACAGTGCTTGCCTTGCATGCATGAGGCCCTGGGTTCGATTCCTCAGCACTACATAAGCAAAAAGAAAAAAGCTGGAAGTGGCGCTGTGGCTCAAGTGGTAGAGCGCTAGTCTTGAGCTGAAGAGCTGAGGGACAGCACCCAGGCCCAGAGTTCAGGCCCCACAACCGGACCCCCCTCCCCCCCCAAAAAAATAGAAATAATATAGGTAGACTTTCAAAACTTATTTTTTTAAGTTTAAGAAATATCACAATACAACCTAGAAGATTTTCTTATAAATAAGATTCTATAGCATAGTAATATAACTGTACATTTCTACTCAGAGATCATAAATGAATGGATAATGGCATTGATAAAAAAAAAAAAAAAACTTACAAAGCTGGGCACTGGTGGTTCATGTCTGTAATTTAGGTACTCAGTAGGCTGAGATATGAGGATTGTGGTTCAAAACCAGCCCAGGCAAGACAGTCCATGAGAATCTTATCTCCAATTAACTACCGCAAAACTGGAAATGGAGCTGTGGCTCAAAGTGGTAGAGAGCTAGCCTTGAGTAGAAAAGCTCAGGGACAGCACCTGGGCCATGAGTCCAGGCCCCACAACCAACACAACCAACAAAAAACGTATGAAAACACTATTCCTCTAAAAGAAGTTTGATGATAGTAACACACACAAAAAATCCTTTTCCAAAGCCCCAGCTGCTTTTTCTTTTTTCCTTGTTTGTGTGTGTGTGTGTGTGTATGTGTGTGTGTGTGTGTATGTGTGTGTGTGTGTCCTAGGGCTTGAACTCAGGAACCTGGACATTGTCTCTGAGCTTTTTTGCTCGACTAGTTTTTGTTTTGTTTTTTTTTTTGTCGGTTGTGGGGTTTGAACTTTGGGCTTGGGCGCTGTCCCTCAGCTCTTCAGTGGTAGTAGTGCTTTACCACTTGAGCTACAGCGCCACTTCCGGTTTTTTGGTGGTTTATTGGAGATAAGAGTTTCACGGACTTTCCTTCCCCGGGCTGGCTTTGAACAGGGATCCTCAGATTTCACCCTCCTGAGTAGCTAGGATTACAGGCGTGAGCCACCG